CCCCAGGTACTTGGGAGGCAGAGATGGGGAAGATCACAGATTAAGGCCAGCCTAGGCAGAAAAGTTAGTAAGACCCCATCTTAACTGGTATACCAGATCTGGTGGTACATGCCTGTGATCCCAGCTATGGGGGAGGCATTGGTAGGAGAATTGCAGTAACATGAGACCTTACCTGAAAAATAAAGCAAAAAAAAAGGAACTTGGCACATGGCTCAAGTGGTAGACGTGAGGCCTGAAGCTGAAACCTCAGTTCTGGAAAAAAGAAAAAAAAGAAACAGGGGTAGCCAGTGAGAGCGAGGTTTGATCCCAGCCAGCTCTTGTCCGAAGCCACCCTCCAGCTTCCCCAGGTGGCCACTGAGGGACATGGGATATGCCTGTGACCTCCCCCATGTCTCCTGAGTGTCCCCACAGCAAAAGGCAGTCACTGCTCCCAGTGGCCTCCACGCCCTGGAAATGTCACCTGCCACCTTGGTGTGCTCCCCAAGTCTCTCAGCCCTGTCCTTGCCACACCCTTTCCAGCCCCTGTGACCCACCTTCCACCTTTCTCCCCATCTCTGGCTTTCTGACAAAACTGGTCTCTTTAGACACCTGGCCATTTGGGTTTCCAACACTGGGCTCTTGGAGTGATGACTCCCACCCTCCTGGTCTCTGTGGTCCACACATCAGAGTGACAGGGTTGGCTGCAAGGCCTGGTTTCAGGTGACAGCACAGGTGTGCCATGACCTGGCTGGGCAGAGCATCAGTGGACACCTCTGTGCTTCCAAACACAGCTCCCTGGTGGTCCTTGGGAGATAGGTGTCCCCCTTCCTTTATGTGTGGACTTTTGGGGACAGAGGCCTCCCAGCTTCTCACACTTCAGCTGGACTGTGTGTTCCTGCCTGATCCCAGACGGTTGCCCAGGACTGTGGGAATCACACAGACTCTGTCCCAAAGGACACTGGGCATCCAGGCTCAGTGATCAGTAGGCGGTGGCTGTCCTTGGTTGTCAAGTGTCCGAGGCAGCCAGGACCCCAACATGTCTACTTCTTTGTGTGGCATGAGGTCCCTCTCCCTCACCAGAGCCCACCTGGAAGCTACCTGCATGGTGTTGAATGCTAGCAATGCTGTGGGGCGGTGGGGTGACACAGAAGGAATATGACGTCCAATGGGCTGGACCACCGCAGGCCAGCTGGTGACCTGCCTGGTACATCACATGACCCTAGGCTGCCCCCCCCATCCGACGTGAGGATGAGGATGGCCGTGCATGGCAAATGCTGAACACACGCCAGGGGCTCCAAGGACAGAGGTGCCAAGTGTGGTTGGACAGATAAAGGACGACCCTTGCTGTGTTCCAGAACACGTGAGCAGTGACATTGGAGTGAGACCCCCTCGTATCAAGTCCTGGCCCCGGGAGGCTGGCCAGGACTGAGCCTGTGTTTCCCATGGAGTGGGGATCACGTAGAGACCCCTGCCGGGTTGTAGGGCAGATTAAACACCGTGACCTGGGAGGCCAGGTTAGCTGCACTGTTCACTGCTGGGGAGGAGGGTGGCTCTTGGGGGACACCAAGGGCAGTGCACGGTTCAGCGCTTGTCTGTAGAGGTCCCTCACCCCGTTTCTGAGAGCTGGGCCGTTGTCTGTGATCACTGTCCTTCTGCATCTGAACCACCATCACCACCACCGCCACCACCATCACCGTCACCACCACCATCACCACTATCATCACCTTCATCACAACCATCACCACTATCACCACCATCACCGCCACCATCATCACTATCACCATCACAACCACCATCACCACCATCATCACCATCATTACCACCACTATCATCACCACCACCACCATCACCATCACCACCATCACCACCACCACCATCACCACCACCACCACCACCACCACCATCACCATCACCACCATCACCATCACCACCACCATCACCACCACCACCATCACCACCACCACCACCACCACCACCATCACCACCACCACCACCATCACCATCACTATCACCACCATCACCATCACCACCACCATCACCACCATCATCACCATCATTACCACCACTATCATCACCACCACCACCATCACCATCACCACCACCACCATCACCACCACCACCATCACCACCACCACCATCACCACCACCACCATCACCACCACCACCACCACCATCACCATCACCACCATCACCATCACCACCACCATCACCACCACCACCACCATCACCATCACCACCACTACCATCACCATCACAACCACCACCACCACCACCATCACCATCATCACCATCACCACCATCACCACCATCACCATCACCACCACCACCATCACCACCATCATCACCACCACCATCACCACCACCACCACCACCATCACCATCACCACCATCACCATCACCACCACCATCACCATCACCACCACCATCACCATCACCATTACCACCACCACCATCACCACCATCATCAACACCACCATCACCACCACCACCACCACCATCACCATCACCACTATCACCACCACCATCACCATCATCACCATCACCACCATCACCATCACCACCACCATCACCATCACCATCACCACCACCACCATCACCACCACCACCACCACCACCACCATCACCACCATCACCACCACCACCACCATCACCACCATCACCACCACCACCACCACCACCACCATCACCACCACCACCATCACCACCACCATCACCATCACCACTATCACCATCACCATCACCACCATCACCATCACCACCATCACCACCACCATCACCACCACCACCATCACCATCACCACTATCACCATCACCATCACCATCATCACCATCACCACCATCACCATCACCACCACCATCACCATCACCATCACCACCACCACCACCACCACCATCACCACCATCACCACCACCACCATCACCACCATCACCACCACCACCATCACCATCACTATCACCACCATCACCATCACCACCATCACCACAACCAGCAGCAGCAGCAGCGGCACCATTTGTGGAGACTTGGTCCTTAAAGCAACCCATTGAATCTGGGATTTTTTAAAGATCTCCTTTCACCAGGGCTCAATGTACAGGTGACACATCCAAGTCTGCAGTGGCATGGAGTGTCCTCTCAGGCACAGCCGGTTGTCCTCTATGCCAGTCCTGGGAGAAAGGACAGCAGGACGTCGCAGCCTCACCTGTGGCGGGCACTGGCGCCAGGGCCACCTTCCTGGACTGGGTCTTTCATCTGCGAATGGGTGGCTCGGTTCAGCTCTGGGTTCTGTGGTTCAGGGGCTCAGGAAGCAGCGGGTGGAGGGGCTGGGCATCTTGGGCCGGGTGGGAAGGGGCGACCTCACCGTCACCGGGGGGAGCCCATGGTCTGGCCTGTAAGAGCTGCCACTCCTCAACACTTCACTGTTACTCACATTCTTGTCATAGCTTTCCAGGGACAGGCACTCAGTGTCACGTGCCTTTGTCCAGTCCTTCTCCTGAGAGCCTTTGCCCTTCCCTGACCTCCTTTGCCTCCTGCTGCAGCCCCTCCCCCATCCCCCATGTGATGACGCCACCTTCAGTGTCCCTGAAGGGTCCCGTGTTGAAGGAGACACGAACCTCCTTTGTGCCCAACTGAACCTGCCTCCCAGAGCTCAGAGACCCAAACCAAGTCTACATCTGTGAGTAGCTTTGAGGGTCCTGGAGGCAGGACAGACCCCTTACTGGGGCGCCTGTGCCTCGATTGCCCTGTGTCTCCATTGTCCCCCTCCTAGCGAGCTGTGGCACTGTGCAGGGCACAGTGAATTACACCCAGTGTGTACTGTGATTGCTGACCTCGGGCGAGGCTGTCAGCTAGACTAAGGTAGATGTTTTGAACCGCATCCCTGTAAAGACAAGGTTCAGGGAAATCACAGGCGTTTGGGGCCCTCTGTGTATTGGGGTCTCAACGGTGGTGTCTGACCCATCTCTCCGCCTCACACCTCTCCATGTGCAGCCTTACAAGCTGACAGTCGGAGGCTGCAGCGTCTCAGGCTGGCGTTGCTGCAGGGACCAGGGGGGTCCGGCTCTGCAAAGAGCCCCAGGCAGGATCTTTGGGGGTGTAACTGACATCTCATTGATGGCCAGGAGGGATGCATGACCTCTTTTCCCACTGCTGGTGACCATCTGTGGCAGCCTGGAGGGTCGTCGCTGGCAGGGCGTATTCTCTGCCTGCCTGCCTGAGAGCCTTGGAAGAGTTTTATCCCAGGCTGGATATGGTGGGGCATGTCTGTAATCCCAGCTACTCAGGAGGCAGAGATCAGGAGGACTGCGGTTCAAAGCCAGCCTGGGAAATAGTTCATGAGACCCTATCCCAAAAAACCCTTCAGAAAAAAGGACTGGTGGAGTGGCTTAAGGTGTGGGCCCTGAGTTCAAATCCCAGTACTGGAAAAAAAAAAAGGTGGGTGTGTGGTTCAAATGTTGATCCTAGCAAGCCCAAGTCCCTGGGTTCAAGCCCTAATACTGACAAAAAATAGGGTTTATGACATGGTTAGGATCAAAGTTAGCTGCATACTTCAGTCAGAGCTTTCTGAGAAACAAAGTCCCCCTCGCCCAATGGCAGCAATGTAGCATTTCCCAGCAGTTCTGCCGTCCTGATGAAGCAGCTCACCTGGGCGGTTCTGGTCCCTGGGTTGAGGTCATCTGAAGGTTGCAGGGGACAGGAGGATCGTGTCACTGATGCCCATGCCACCGTGGTCCCCTCAGGACAGGCACCTCAGTGTCCTCCACAGTCCATTTTAGGAACCCCCAAAACCATCATTCCGTCAGCATCCTATTGGTGGCCCCGGCTGTGGACTCAGGGTGTGGACCCCAGGGGGTGGGCTGTGCCGAGGTCCCCTCAGAGGGTGATGGAGGACAACGGGCTGGGCATGAGGGAGCAGGCAGCTCACCCTGCCGTGTGGCCATTACAGGGACCTTGGGGACCTGGAGGCTCAGAGTGGAAGTCTGTGAATGCTGACCAATGTTCCTCTGTCCCCTTCTCTCCCCTCCAGGGCAGCACGCTGAGGAAACGCAAGATGTACGAGGAATTTCTCAGCAAGGTGTCCATCCTAGGTCAGTAGCCACCCTGAAGCCCTCTGAGCACCTGCCGGCCAGCGGGGCACCATCCCTCTCCCCGTGTGACGGAAGTCGTGTGTGGCGTCGAGCATGCACACACGTGCCCACGCCTGGTGCACACACACTCATCAGCGTCCCTGCCCGCCCCTGCCATCCCTGTCCACATCTCCACCTGGCCTGAGCCGAAGCCACCCAAGCTCCTTGCCCTGCCCTCCTGACACCCGGCCTCCTGGTGCCACCTGTGCCCTGTCCCTTGGGGATGTTGGAGGACGGCAGGGGTCACAGCTGAGCTCGCCTGCAGTTCTGCGGGGAGGACGCTGCTGAAGTCACTCTGCCCACGCCGGCCCGGCTGTGCCCATTTCTCATTTTGCACAAAAGTGGCCTCATTCTGCAGCTGAGAGGCGTGTGCTTTTGTGCTGGCCCGCGCAGGACACCCCCGGGGTCCACATGACCCGGTGGCTTCTGTCCATCCAGCACAGACTGGGAATTGAACTCAGAGCCTTGCTAAGCAGCCACTCTACCACTTGAGCTATGGCCCCAGCCCTTTTTGCTGTAGTCATTTTTCAAACATGGCCTTTCATTTGTGCCTGGGCCAGCCTGGACCATGACCCTATTTACTTCTCCCCAGTAGCCTGGGCTACCAGCTTATTGGTTGTGATATGGGGTCTTTCTAACTCCCCCACCCACACCCGCCATCTGATCTTGAACAGTGATCTTTCTGTCTCCACCCCTGGAGTGGCAAGGATTACAGGCGTAAGCCACCATGCCTGGCCCAACACAGAGTTCTTTTTCTTTTTCTTTTTTTTAAGAAGGCGGGTTGTATGATGTAGTTGGAACAGCTTTCACTACGAGGCAGCTCCGGGGTTACTGGGAAGTGTCGCCGTTTGAAATGGCGCAGCACCAGCAGGAGATTTTAGGGAAAGAACCCCTGCTAACCTACATTTAAAATTAGAGCTTTCTTATTTTTAGCTGCTGACCTACATAGGTAGCATCTAAGCGTAGCATAGAAATTGTGAATCAGGTGATCTTATCAAGTCTCACATCATTTTTTTTCCTCCTTCCCAGGGGTTAGGAAGGGATGGTGTGAGAATGGTGCAAAGATCTATTAAAGTTTGCAAACATTTAACAATGCACTTGGGGGATGTGTGTAGCGGGACACGTCTGTAATCCCAGCTACTTGGCCGGCAGAAATCAGGAGGATCAAGGTTCAACGCCAGCTTAGGCAAAAGTTATTGAAACCCCCATCTCAGTCATTAAGCCGGGTGTGGTGGTGTGCACCTGTAATCCGAGCTACACAAGAGGTTATAAGGAGGATCATTGTCTGGGCAAGAATGTGAGACCCCATCTGAAAACTGGATTGAGTGGTAGAGCACCTGCCTGGCAAGTGCATGGCCCTGGTTTCAAACCCCAGTATTGCCAAAAAAAAAAAAAAAATTTTTTTTAAAGCATTTTGGCTTAAAACACTGAAGGCATTCCCCGCCTGGCAGCTCCCCAGTCTGTCAGCCCACAGGGTGGTGCCATGTTTGAACGGTCGTTCTGTTCCCTTGACGCCACTCTGAGTTGTTCTGAACGCCTGGAGCTTGGTTGTGACTCCATGGTCTGCAGAAATGGAGGCAGCCCTGTCCTTTTGGAGATCAAGTTTTCACTCTACATTTTCAGGGCCTGTGATTTGGGTTGTGCATGAGATCAGTGAAGCCATTTTCAAACCATGTCTCCCTGGCAGGGATGGAGTGGGAGCCATGTGTGTCCTGGGAAAACTGTCCCAGGAGCTGGGTTTCTGTGGCCTTGGCTTCTCTCTGCTTTGTTTTTGGTTTTTGGTGGCAGCACTGGGATTTGAACTCAGGACCTTGAGCTTGCTAGGCAGGCGTTTGACCACTTGAGCCACAGGCCCAGCCCAGGGGGGCAAGTCCTCGTTCTTCCTCCTCCTCTCTCTCTCTCTGTCTCTCTCTCTCTCTCTCTCCCCCCCTCCCGGGTTGAATCCAGCCCAGGATTGCGGGTTTCTGAGGTGCATCCGAGGAGAGCCGCCATGCCCCCCATCCCCGTGGTGCCACCGTGACCCCTGTTCGTCCTACTCCTCTGCAGAGTCCCTGGAGAAGTGGGAGCGCCTGACCGTGGCCGATGCCCTGGAGCCTGTGCAGTTTGAAGATGCTGAGAAGATCGTGGTCCAGGGAGAGCCCGGGGACGACTTCTACATCATCACGGAGGTGAGTCCTCGAGGGGCGCTGAGTCCTTGCAGGTGCGCGGTGGCTCACACCTGTAATCCCAGCTACTCAGGAGGTGGAAATCTGGAGTCCAGTTTCAGGCAGCCTGGACAAAAGGTTAGCGAGACCCCATCTCGGTGAACAAGCCGGGCGTTCATACCTGTGACCACAGCCCTCAGGAGGCTGAGGCAGGAGAGCCATGACTTTGAGGACAGCCTGGACTGCATAGTGAGACCCTGTCTTTAAAAAATAAAAAGGAGGAAAGGAAGGATGAAAGGAAGGAGGAAGGGAGAGGAAGAGAAATCTGGCACCTGGCCTTATTCCTGTCTGGTCACAACCATTTGTTGTCCTTGGACAGTGGTTCTCATTTGCCACTGTCCCCACCTGGCCCTGTCACCTGGCCAGGGTCTCCCAGGGCCCCTTCAGGGCTTCTGAACTTGTGTCTCACTTGGAATGCTCAGGTGACAGGGACCAAGGGACCGGCTATGGAGACAGTCCTCCATTGTGTCCTGTGGACCAAGCCGTCCAGCTGGGTGCAAGGTCTCATGTAGAAATCACACAGATGTGGCTGGTGAGCTCCTCATGGCAGGATGCAGATGACGGTGACTTCAGATGGTTGTGCTGGGACTCAGGTGACCACACCCCTCTGTGAGGCTTGGCCACACAGCCCTCCATGTCCACACCAGGGCTGAGAGACGAGTAGGCGTAAGGTCAGTTTGCTCGGCTCCTACCTCCCAGGCCTTCACCGGGACGTGGTCAGCCCCAGGCCTAAGAGTTGCGAGCATGGCTTTCCCCATCCCAGCTCTATTGCCCTGTCCTCTGGGCAAAGGGTAAGATTCAGTTGTCGCTCACTTCCCACTTCAGGGCAGTGTGTCCTGTGTAGGGACCACAGGTTCCCGGTGTGGGGTCCCAGGACATGGGGCTGGAGAACAGGTTTCAGGAAGGTGACAGGTGACAGGGACTATCCTGCTTCTGAGCATGACCTCAGGACTGTGCCCCCGCTGGCTTGGGGAACAGGGGACAGGGTGGGGACTCATTTCAGTGAATGCCGTACCGTCCAGGAGAGTGGAGCCCTGTCCGCAGGGAAGGTGTGGCATCTCAGCCTTGGAAAGTGAGTTTGAGTCACTCTGTGACAGCGAGTGTTTACCCCCTTTTTCCTCCGTGATCATCAGAATCTAGACAAGTCACTGAGGGACCCCAGGCCCACAGGAGATCAAAGATGCCCAGAACTGAAGTTCTTTGTAGGGGACTTTGAGGTTTCCAGTCACTGTTGATCATGTGGGGTTGCCGAGGCCATGGTGGCCACACCTGAGCCTAATGCACGTGGGAGACCCCGGTTGGCCCCATGGTTCTGCACCCTTGGTCTGCGCCCAGCGGAGTTGTCTGACCTTCTCAGTCCCGCCGTCCTGCTGCCCGCCCCACACCGCCAGGCCGTGTCCCCTGTCTGGCAGCCGCAATGCATGCTGACTCAGTTGTGACATTGCCCTTGGCGGGCTGCAGAAGCCCTCGTCCTGGGGAGCCCTCACCCCGCTCTCCTTCCTCCCGGTCCTCTGCCCCCGCCTTTCTCTGTCCCTGGGTCCCGAAGGCCACAGGACTTCACAGTGGTTGCCCATGTGTCCTTTGCAGCCGCTCTGCTGGAAGACGTTTGCTTTGGGAGCTGACTTCTGCCATGTGTGGGAGATCCACCGGGGTCCCCACACACTGCCAGCATTCGAGAGGCAGAGCATGACCCCCAGTTGGAGGTGACCCCAGGGGGTCTCTGTCTGCCAGCACTGTGTCCACAGCAGCTGTCTCTGAGCTGTGGGAGCTGCCCGCCCCTTGACACCTGATCCCTGCAGCTCTTGGAAAACAGCTCACTCCAGGCCATCGCTGGCCAGCCTGCCCGTGGGAACCGGGGGCTGCAGACACAGGCGCAGGGCACCAGTAGGAGGTGTGAGTCCTGCAGGCTCACAGCCTGTGCTTGCTGTCCTCCTGTCTGTCCACCCTTCTGTGCTGAGCTTCCCTCTCTGGGAAGTCTGGGACCAGCACCCTGGGCCAGGAGCCCTTGAGATGGGAACAAAGTCCTCTAAGGCAGCTGTGGGACTGCAGGAGCTGTCCCAGCGTCTGGCAGGACGTGGGCTTGGCTCCCCTCCCCAGGAAAGGTGCCCGGGGCCTGGCGAGCAGAGGGCCACCGCGCAAGGCGTGCGTTGCAGGGCTGGGAGGCGCAGGCTGCCGGCTGTTCTGTGACCTCATCAGAACTCACGTCTCCTGGCTGTGCTGTCCAGGAAAACCAGGGAGGATTTGGATGGTGGGGGGGGGGGCAGGTGGGTGACACGCGTGTTCTGCTGCACATTCCTTGATTGGAGCCGCCTGGCCAGTCCACCCGCCTGAGACCTCTGTGCAGCCTGGAGGCAGCTGGATGGACAGAACCCTGAGATCTGGTTCCCCATAAAAATCCTCGGGATTGAAATTCCCCCAGCTCATTGCCATGGTAACTCTGGGCTGGATTTGTCTCCTCGTTTAGCAAATTAATTTTATGAATGTCCACAATGTTGGAGCCGTTGCAGGCAACACATTTCACAGCCATCCTCAGGCCTGGGAACGCTCAGGCCATCGGAGCCAGCCGCTCGCCCCCACCCGACCTGGATTGTTGAAAACCCAGCGGCCACTTGTGCCCCTCCAGGGTTGGTTGTGCCTGGCCTGGGCTGTCCACCCCCCCCCCCCCCACTGAACGCCAGGCCATGGCAAGTCCTTGCGGGGCACCTTAAGAGCTTCACTACTGACTGTCACGGTTACCGTGACGTCACTTGCTGTCCTCACAGTGCCTTTCCTGCTCCTCGGGCTGTTATTGGTGTCATTCTGTCAGTTCCTGTGCGTCCCTCTTTGGGATTGCTGTCTGGGGAAGGTTTTAGGGCCTGTAGTAGCCACGTGGGTCTGTGCCACAAATATGTCTCAGGCTCTTTGGTGAGCACCAGGCTTGAGTGATATCCTGTGAAAGGACGTGAGGACCCATGGGCAGAACTTGGGGCAGACAGTACTGGAAAGGGTGTCGTGTATGCAGAATGGCTGGGAGGCTCCAGGGACTCAGACAGGGACTGATTATGGGGACTGGGAGGCCGTGGGACTGAGGTCTGGTGTGACAGCCAGTTGGGATGTCCGGGTCCAGAGCAGTTGATGGAGAAGCTGGCCAGCCACGGTGGCAGCCATTGTCTGGTCAAAGCTCACTCGCCAAGGAACAGTGCTGGGTCCCGCGTGCAGAAGGAGTCAGGGCAGATGCAGGTCAGTGGAAAGGTGGGTGGTCACTTCCCAGGGATGGCAGAGGCCAAGGAAGCAGCAGGTCTCAGGGAAGGGCTGCAGGTGTGACCTGGCCATCAGCAGCTGGGGACAAAGTGGGCAGATGGGGACATCGGGGTACTCACATTTCCTAGGGGAAGGTGGGAAAGACATGGTATAAATGGTGCCTTCAGGTGTGGTGGGGGTCAGGACCCGGCCACACAGGACAGGCGTGAACAGGACAGGAGCCCTGGGCAGGGAGCCTGAGCCATCCCTGTGAATGTGCACTGTCCGTGAGAACGGCCATGTGTCTTCCAGACCCAGCTGCCCTCGGCCTCTCGGGAGCTTCCTGGGTTGGAGCCCCATGTTTGCGTCCATCCTGGGACACGCTGGGCGAGGCTGGCGGTGCAGCTGCTGTGGAGATCCAGTTCCATGACCCGGCGAAGGAATGTCCACCACCCAGCTGGTGTTGGGCTGTCCCCGTGTTGTCCCTGCCTCAGATCCATGCGAGCAGCAGCTCCTCCTCCTGTCCAGGGGAATCCCAGCTTCTAAGTGACACCCATGGCCAGTGACCATGGACCTGCCTCTGGGCTGGGCTGGAGGGAGCTTCCCAGAGCCATGCTGGGCTCAGAGCCACATCCCAGCCATCGGCGTTTGCACTGGACAGGGCCCTTCTTGGGGTCTGTGTATTTGGCAGAAGTGAAGGAGTGGCCTCCTTCACGGTTATTTGCTGGCTCAGTGGCCTGGGTACCTGCAAGGGGGTAGCTAGAGTCCCTGGGAACTGGGAGCTTCACCACACCTGGTTCACTGAGCGCCCCAGCGAGTGTGACTGCCACCTGTGCTTGGCCCCTACCCAGTGGCCCCTGTTGGCTCCAAGGGACAAAATCCACCAAGAGGCCCCACCAAGAGGGAATAGACGTCCACTAGGCTCTGACTGGTCTCCTACCTCATCGCAGGACATCTCGTCACCTGGGGCAGAAGGCTGCACCTCCCCTCACGACTCCTGTGCTCCCACAAGGTCCACTCTGAGCCGTTATCAGCCTTGCCCAGTGGACAAGACAGTGGGCCCAGCAGGGTGCACTTCAGGCGAGCTGAGCGCTACAGACTGAGCCAGTCCCCCACTGACTCGAAGTGAATAAATGGACCTCCCCAAAGTGCACATGACCCCTCCCCTTGCCCTGCAGGTCCAGCAAGTTCTTGTGTGAGCCGGGGCTTCTGCAGCGGGCCATCCTCTAAGGACTTGACGGAGGCACTGTGTTTGCTGGGGCCACGGCCGGCCTTGACCTCAGTGCTCTACCTTTGAGGATGAGCACCTTAAAAAGAAAAAAAAAAAAGTTCTACAGGGCCGGGTGTGGTAGTGTGCATCTGTAATCCCAGCACTGAGAAGACTGAGGTGGAGGATCTCGAGTTCCAAGCTAGCCTGGGCTATATAGAGAGACCTCGTCTCAAAGGAAAAAAAAAAAAGAAAAAGAAGAAAAGCAGTGCTACACCCTCCCCCAAGCAAATATCAAAACCACCCCGCGACTCCCCCTGAGACCCCGGCAGCCCCCGCGGCCTGGGATCCCATTTTCCGCGCTCGACTGTGTAGGCGTCCCAGACGAGACAGATGTGGAATGCGTCTGCCGGATTCCGCGGTCCCTGGCTCGGCAGAGACCGGCGATGAGCACCGGACAGGGCCGTTGCCATGAGGACGGGACATTGTGCCAGAAAACCCCAACAGATGTGCAGTTCTGGGCAAATCGATTTGTAGG